CACAGATTATAAAACCTCTGGTGACCTAAACAACAAAATAGGAGTCAGCAGAATTTCAAGAGCAGTGGAGTGGAGGGCAAGGAAATACATGTAAGAGATTAAAATGAGGAGCAAAAGATAAGCATTTCTTTTAGTCTGCCAAACATGCTTTTTGGTTGGGCTTTAGGGGTTAAAAAATACCTATTGCTTTTTAAAAATTTGTAATGTTAATATTTTGTTGTTCATTTCGTGAACAACAAAACCTTCTATGCTTTGTGTTTTCCTTCACAAAGCATAGAAAATATTGGAATATCTTTAACAGAACTCATTCATCAAGGCACTTCAACAACACCTCAGAAAGCTAAGAGAAATCATGCATATAACTGTATCCATATATCCATGCAACACAGTTTACCCCTCGCTTCTTGAATTACCTTACTGTGATAAATCCTGTCAAATTTTTATATGGTCAATGCCACACTGACCCCTTGATTGGTTGTGAAAAAACCTTATTGTGAACATGACACTATTGTACTGCAGTGTATGAGGGCGAAGAGGAAAACAAAGAGGACCAATGACGGACTGAATAGATATTTATGTAGTTGGCCTTTTGATGTGTGTCCTTAGTGTAACCCGAGTGGGCAGCACACAGGTCATTACGGTCAAATGCAGCAAAGGGGCACAAAAGAGTCAAACAATGGCCTGATGAAGTAGAGTGAGGAAGGCACCCAAGGACAGGAGAGAGTATACCAGCTCCAGACAGGAAATGGGATGAGATGGGAGGCACAAATTTAAAGTGGCATGAAAGAAGTAGTCACACCATTGAACTTTTCCATATTTTTTCAAGTTACAACCACAAAACTAATTCTAATTTAATACCCCAACATAAATTATCATATCTTTGCAAAAGGGAGAAAAATCATGCACGATTTTCATTAAAAACAAATGTATTTCATTTTCTTTTATCTGATACCCCCAAATTAATCCACTGGGAAAGTTGGACCGATGTCCCCTAATTAGGAAGCAGAGTCTACAGAGTCTTTGTGATCTAATATGTGTATAAATTCAGCCATTCTTTGAAGGCCTTTGTTAGAGAACTTTGGTGAACAAACACCACAAAGACCAAGGAACATAGATCAGGAAGCAGCTTGTGAAGGAAAGTTCAGTTTAGGGCTTGGTTACAAATGAATATCCCAAACTTTTAAGGTCTCATTGAGAAATCAAAGAAGTATTCAAAAGGACTTTGGTAGCTCTGGTAGAGCTGCAGGGATTTGCTCCAGAGGTGGGAGAACATGTACATACATCATGCTTTCCATACACCTGGCCTTCATGATGTTATTGACCGAGAAGGGCAATTCAACTTCAATGTATAAGAAACTCCCTTTAAAATCAAAATGTAACTTCTAGCCTGAATGCAAAATTATTACATTTGGTTTATTTTTATAGCATCATTTCACAACACGTCATATTCAGGCCCTTTGCAAAGACGATTCAACCAGATCATTCAGTCAAATTGGTTCAAAAGTTTCTATCTAAGGAAATCCAACCTGATTGCATTGACTCATTCAGCTATCCCTCCCACCAAGCATGAATGCAGCAAGAGTAGAAAGGAAAAACTCAGTGTGAGCGGCCATCTGCCGAGGCTGACTGGGGTTCAAAGAGATAGAAGCAGACATACAACAACAAGCAGAGATATAAAAGTTAACTGTTAACCAGCTCCACAGGTGGCCCTCTACAGGAAAGACACATCCGAGCTCCAAGCCAGTAAATGAAATAGGACTACACTAAAAATACACGCTCAATTCCAACTTCTCTAAACAATGGTGTTAATGGCAGTAGCCCAGCTGATTTATTTCCCAGGTGGTGTAACAGCAAAGCAGACCAGATGAAGCCCCTATGACGGGAAGAGTACAGAGAATATAAAGGTATTAGTGGAGCCTAAAAAATACAGCAGAATATGAAAATAGTAAGAGAATGAAGCAGAATAACGAAAAGTAGTCCCCATGTCTTCCAGCAGTCTAAGCCCATAGCAGCAACTATATAATAGAGTTTGAGGTGAGAAACTAACCCTTAACACACAAACCCTTTGGACAGATATGTTGTGGCAGCATCATGCTGGAGGATGCTTATCTTTAGCAGGGTGAAGCAAGCTGATAAGGGTTGGTAAGAAGATTGATGGGGCTCAATACAGATCAATCCTGGAAGGAAACATTAAGGGGCTAGAGCAGACTTGAAGCGGAGGAAGAGGTTCAGCTCCCAGCAGGACAACCCTAAACATAAAGCCAAAGCTGAAATTCATATGAATAGGTCAAAGCATGAATATAATTTAGAATGAATCAATGTGTAAAATGTATGTTCACAGAAGCTTTCCTTAAACTTAGATGTTTGCAAGGAATAAAGGAGACAAATTTTAGTGTCAGGTCGTGCAAAACTGGTAGAGATATACCACAAAAGACTTACGACTGTAATGGCAACGAAATGTTTGTTGACAATACTAAATGAAGGTGATGAATGCAAAAAGAGAGCTTTTATGAAGGGCTTGATTTCTCAGTCATGTATTATGTTAATTTGTTGCAAGAGATACAATTTACATACTCTGATATTTTCAGTTATAATGTAACAGAATGTGAAAAAGGGCCAGGGGTCTAAATAATATAAGACTGCATTTGATGAATGTGCATGCGATTAATATTTTACTGCTTTCAAAGCAATCAGAATTTGGAGTCAATAATACTGTTTCTTTACTTTAATCCTAAACACCCAAGGATATACGAGTCTGTACAAAACTAGATTTTGATCAGGGGACATTTAAGAGGTTAACTTTAAGAGGTTAGAAATCAAAGCTAATTAACCTCTAGTTCAATTAATCTTGAGTTGCACTATTTTATAAAAACAGAGCAGCTATGTTTAACCTGTAATGAAAACATGAAGAAATTCTTACTGTCATTCTCTGGGGTGATCAGGTTTTCTCCAGGCATCTTTATCTCATGGTCCTGAATCTTCTAGAAAAGCTGACAGCAACATCAATAGGTGATGTGAGCTGCCGTTGAATGTAGCGTCAGGTTTTAATGCTTCCTCACCATTGCTGCATATTCGTCATCCTGAGAGTGGTACCCTGTTTAAATTCATGCACTACCTTGGGAATGAAGAGGGAGGATGCATCTCCAGGTATATGTCTTTGTGCATGTGCACTGAGGGTTTGGCACATGATGAGTAATTTGCATGAGAAGTTTACTTTTTCCTCACCACCCATCGACCCGAAGCAGGGACAATGATGAGCTGGAAACCCTAGAGCCAAGCAATTTCACTGACAATCAATTATTCAAATCTGTTATGACTGCCTTTTATGCTGCTGTGTGTGGATTTGAATGATTATGTACCGTATGTGTGTGTGAGAGAGAAAGAGAGAGACAATCTTATGCCTAAGAAAGAGAGTGGCAAGACAAAAACATGAAGGTTATAAGCAGGCTGGGCAGCAACAGTTTATCTTTAAAGAATAGATGGGTTGGGTTTCAAGAAGGTGAAAAATAAAACATAAAAAACTGCACCAAACAAAGAAAAACAATATTTCTTTTTTTTTACTATATAAGCATGTTGCAATTTCATTAGGAATTTG